GGGTCCTGGGTCCAGTATGAGCCAGACCCGTCATCACCTATTGCTGAACCCTGAGACACTGGGGGCCTGCAAGACCACATTGTGAGCGAGGGACAGCTGCGAATCACCTTTAAAGATGCCTGACTTTGTGGACCCGTCAGATTTAAAGCTGCTCAAATTAAACAAATGTATTAAGTGAGTTGATTGCCTCATAAGGATAGATCTGATATACAGTATAAAAAAGTTTTTTTTATGGGTCTATTACATGCAGCTGCAAGTGTTTCAAATGATGTGATGAACTAGTTGCATGCTTTTCCGCAGAGGAGAGCTGTATTTCAGTTTCCTTTGCGTCATTGTATGCGTTATTGTCTTGTGAAATTTTAGTGTCTGTTGTGAAAACCGCATCAGCTTTGTGTTTTGCTGTAACTCGGTTTTAAGAATTTAGTGATTTTTTGTCTTGATCTCCAGGCAACAGCATTGTTTACACCGCAAGAAAGAGGCAAAGAGAATAACTGTGACACTTCACTCCTTGGGAATGGCTGCCAGTTTTGCAGTTTTCTGTTGCCCAGAGCAGTCTACTGCTCTCCTGTGACTATTTCTTCTACTACCTCAGTTGCATGTGTGTTTGTAGAGGGTGGCAAGCAAGCTGCGTGGCACACACACATTGACATGTACAACGACACAAAAACAAAACAGAGCACAGACTTCTGAAGTCCATGCAGTCCGTACACTTCACCTCTGTCAGGGCATGGAGGGTATATTTATGTACAAGGGGCTTAAAAAGTCAGCAGACCATCAAGATCATGTTGTGGAGAAAGCTGTGCAGTGTGAAATCAAGTCCACACAGGCTGTGTGGATTCTACACATCGTTATTCACAAACAACAGTACACTCCACGAAATGATTCTCCCAGAGGCTGGGATTTGATTTTTATTCTGATAAAGGTTTCTGTCATTTTCCTTGAACCGAAGTACCCCTTTTGAGATCTTAAACTACAGCTGACCTGGTCCTTATAGGAGACTGCCTGCTGTCTTGAAAGAGAAGGTATTTCTTTCAATCAAACGTAATGTTTAATTTCTCTCAGTCAGTGATGTCATGCTACATGCATACCCATGTCGTAATTATTTATTCGCTGTGTTTATCCAGTTGAAATGAATGCTTGTTCCAGACTTTTCATGGCTTTGAGGGGTTTTTGTATCTTTCTTCTACCCCTAGTTGATTTTTTGGTACCTTGTCATATTTGTAGAAACTAGCAATGACTGCACCCTGTCTGCCCTGTCACCTGTACTTCATCTGCATGGATTTCAGCTCCAGCACTGTACGACATTAGTAGCTACAAAAGCAATTTTCATGTTCTGTCTTAAACCATGATTTTGGATTGTGTAATTGATCAGATTATCTTTCTATTCATCGATCATATTATTCATTCACAACTTTGCTTTGCACTGTATGTCTTATTTCAGTAGGTTATATTGTGATATTAACTTTATTATACGCCTGTACGTGTTGCACTGCGTGATTTACAGTTGTTGATGATAAACATGTATCAGCCAAGCAGGCTAAGACCTTCAACTGATTAAAGGGAGAAAAGTGAAAAATAATGAAATGACCTGGGATCTGATCCTTTATAATGTAATCAAGTTTCCCCTTGATTGCAATGGGCAGTCCAATCTCTTATGGCAGTCGGTGCACATGTGCTCTGGGCCATGTGAGCAGGGAGATGGTAGTGGTGTGTGTGGTGGGCGGGGGGCGGGGGGATTAACTGACAAATGGGATGCTATTAGGGGCTGGCAGCACCCCCTGGCCCACGAGCCAAGATACCACCTGCTCAGTTTTCCTCTTAGAGATAGCAGAGTCAATCTGTCTCCTCTTCAGTCAGTATGGAACAGTGTCACTGTCTGTCTGTTGCTGGCCATCAGCTTGACGTCAGTGAAGTGGATACGTGACAGGAAAGGTGTCCTTGCCCTGTACTTGTGCCAGACCACCCCTGTGTCAGTCCCACCCATGTGCTCGGCTGCCTGTTTCGTTGTTGATGAGGCCCCGGCTGGTCTGTCTTTCGGTCCCCGCAGAGTGATGGAAGTGGTCTGCCCGCAAGATTCTGCCCTCGGGGAAGCTACACCGCAGAGGAAAGAGAACAGGCTGCCATTCCAGGTACCGAACAGGACTGGACTGGATTGCGATACAAGACGGGAAACTATGTGGTCTGTGAAAATCCAATAATAATATATTTTGCGGTATAAAAACTGCATTCTTCACATTTCTGCTTCTGTGTTTAGTTCCCTCGATGTTGTGCAATAATGTAAACAAAAAATCAGTCTATTTTTTCCCCAGTACTGCAACATTGCATTGCTGTAGACTGAAATGTGAAGACAGACAACTTATAGTTTCGGTTCCCTCGAGTTAATTGCATCTCAATAAGTTAATCACAGTCACTCTTCATTTCTAGTGTGTATACAGAATTAAGGGTGTCAGAAAAGCAGCTTCAAATTGAAGTACATTCTCTAGTTAAGATAGTAGATACTGTAGATACTTTATTGGGAAATTGCAGTGCAACAGCAGCTTAACACAGTCAACACAGCACAGTGTAACTAAATGATACAATAATAATACAATACATACAATACAATCAGTACAGTGAGAAGTGAACTAAGAAGAGTTACTCACAGTCCAGAACATACAAAGAACAAACCAGAACAGTACACAGAAACTTGCATTGCACAATATAAATATAAATATAAATATATTGCACAAAAACGGTTGTAAATGGTTGTAAAGCCAGATGTCAGCATCTGAAATGATGACAGGATGAGCTGTTGCTTCCTTCAGTTTTGTTACTTCCTCTGAAGTTGTTATGTTACGTTGTCAAGATCAGAGCCAGTCTCTGTCGAGCTCTCTCCTCAACGTGTTGTTTCTGTACATCTAGCAGGACAAATGGTGTCTAAGAAGGACTGTTCTGAGATAATAGCTAGCGCATCACCTTGACAACAGCAACAGTGGGTACAAAAGGCACAGCCATTACACAGAAGATAAAATGCAAAGATCAAAAACTTGAAATGCAAGAAACTCAGAATGAACTTAGAGCAATTTCTGTTAAACATTTTGTAGGAAAATATATTCTATTTGTTTTGACATGGTTCTGGAAATTGATTGTATTTTGACGTGTGCTGAAATTGAGCTATTGAATTATTATTTTACTGCTACAATATTTTCATAACAGTATTAGAGTATGATTTTGGGTGAGGATAAATTGTAGGGTTTTTTGATTGGCATTATCTGTGTTTTTCAGCTTCTGATAATCTCCCTGGATAATACTGCATGCAAAGGAAATAATAATAATAATAATAATACAATTGTTAATGATAAGAGCCAGAAATGCAGGGCAGGGTGTTGGGGGCCTGTTGCCTGTTGACTTTGCCTCTCTCTCTCTCTCTCTCTCTCTCTCTCTCTCTCCGCTCAGATCTTCCCAGACCCCGTGGAGACAGCCCTGGGGCCGGGGGGCTGGGGCGGCGAGGCTGGCCACCCCAGGCAGAAGGAGCGCCTGCCCTCCATCGTGGTGGAGCCCACGGAGGTGAGCGAGGTGGAGAGTGGCGAGCTGCGCTGGCCCCCCGACGACCTGGGCTCCTTCGAGGACGACGAGGACCTCTTCCTGGAGCAGTGCATCCCCCCAGCCAACATCGCCGACTGGGGCGAAGATGAGGGAGGCGAGGAGGAGGAGGAGGCGGCGCGGGGCGAAAGCGGGTGCTGATCGAAGGACGGTCTCCTCGGTACGTTGTGACCAGGTGTCACCAACAATGTCACCCCAGTGACCGTGTACCCCCTGGCCACACCCCTCCGTCGCTAACAGCATGGACCCAGACGTGCCATTTCTGCCGAGGTCGTGCCGATACCCATCTGTTCCAGATAATCCACGACACTAATATCAGGAGGCATCCGAATCTCCCCCCATTTTCAAATGTTTTGAACTGTCTGAGGGGCTTCCAGAGACCAGGCTGACAGTATAATGACTTGAGAGAATGCAAACATTGGCAGAACATACAGACCTCTGCTGTTATGACAAATGTTATGTATTTTTATGAAAACCTGTTATGTCTGTATGTCAACAGTCATAAAGAACGAAGTGTTATCTGGGTTACATATGTCCTCCTTCAATGACCGTGACTGCTGTTCTCCTCTCCTCTCCTGTCTCCCAGCAGATTTACGAAAGTACAGGATTTCGAAGAAGACACCCTCTCCTTTCAGTGAGAGAAAGAGTCTACTCCAAAATCACAAGCACCATAGGACAGACACCCAGGCTGATCTGCACCTTCTGATGTTACGGTGTCTACTCATTTTTTTAAGTTCAACATAACTGTTACATATAGTATTAGGATGGACATATCCTTAAATTGAGAATTTCCCATTTTCAAAGAGAACATTGAGAGAACTCTAGTATGTCTGCCTTTTGCAGTTCCTTTCAGCAATAATTCTCCAATTTAGGGCTCCGAAAATCTGATCCTGAACACCCCTTCTCAGAAACAGTGGGAATCTAGGATGGCTCAAGTACAATGTCACATTCTCTGAACCACATGGAGCCAGGGCAGTTCACATTCAGATACTCTTCATAGTGTTGTGTAACGGCTGCACAGATAGGGCCGACAACAGTGTGTTTCTGCATGTTATATAGCATCCTACAATAGCTCTGCAGCTAGGGCAGTTTGCACAGTATTGGTCTCTGTGCTTAATATTCTCTGATACTTGCAGTGCTCGGTTAACCTGCAGTGTTGTGCTAAGTAAGATATCCTCTGTAATACAGTATATATGCACTGTTTCTATGGAAGCACTATTCAGTGTGAAGTATCCTCCACTACTTGCATAACTATGGCAATCTGCTCTGCACTGTGTTAGTCTAATGTTCTCTAACACATCATATCAGAGATATGTTTTTCTCTGATACCTGCTCTGCTAAGATAATAGGGCACTGTAAGGCCATCAATGTAAGGCATTATGATAAATGTGTAGTTAAGGCACAAAGTAATTATGTAAGATGTTCTCTGATATCAGTACAACTAGCTAAGGCAGTCTAGAATATATTTATATGCAGGGTATTCTCTGTTACAGTGCTAATGCAATCTGCGCTGTGTTTCTGTGCACAGTATTGATGGCACCAGTGCAGTCAGGGCAATCTGAGAGGTTCTTGTGTTATTGAGGCTGCCTAGTGCAGCTAGTCCATTAATCTCTTGTCGTACTGGGGGCTATAAAAGAATAGATTGAGGGGGGCAAGACACTGACAGCGATTGTCACTTAGCTGTCAGCCCTGGACTCAGTCACCGCTGCTGTAGAGAAACAGCGCACTTCAGAGCTCAGGGGTCAGAGGTCTCTGCAAGAAGGCTGCTTTCCCTGACCTCACTGCAGCTCCTGCTTGCATGCCACTGCTGGTGAGGCCAGGTGGAGGCTGCTAGAGTTGAGCCTCATCCTCTAATCTGTAAGAGAAACATGCAGACCGGTTTTGTGAATGTGCTGTGTGTTTCAAATACCATCAATAAAAGAGTAATTTGGAAAATACAAAGTGCAATACATATGAAAATGTAAGTAGACATTAAGATAGTATTGTGTAGATTTTAATATGATTTAAATTAATTTTAACATAAATGTATTTAAAAAAAGCCACTGGCCAAAATATTAGGGATCCCTCCACTGCAATGATCTCCTGGGCTTTTTGCTGTTTCCATCAGACTCAGACCAGCATGTATTCCACAGGGGGCAGCATAACATGTAAGGCACTAAACACTTGTGACTTACCCAGCCCAAAAAAAGGCACATGAAGTGGGATTGCTTGTTTTTGCGCTAATTACTATGCCATGCTTGTTTTATAATTTAAAATTTAAAAATTTGTTAAAATTTAGAGATAAAAATACAAATACTATGTAAAATATAAAATATGTTGTTTGTACTTTCTTAGACCACTGTATTTCCTAGCTTTTGTCAAAGTATTACTGAATTCGGCTAACAGCAGGGTCCTTTTTATTTTGGCCAAGAGGTGCAGGTATGTTTTTTTCTGCACGGATAGAATACATGTATCACCGCCAATCTGATCAAAAGAGGGGCTGGCTTTGCTCACAAACTCAAGACTGGGTTCAGTCAGTGATGCCCTAGGAGGGGAACTATGGGAACTGAGCATTTTGGGAACATGCTCCGAATGTCATCATTTTCCTGTTCTGTCCAAACACCAGCTTGTCTAAGCACGCTATGCAATACACATTGCGCAGTGTGTTATGACATCTGAAGGAAGCAGGTTGACAGTATCCCTATTTTGTGCAAAGGAAATGAAAAACAACTTGAAGTAAAATCACTTTATTGGCCATTTACAATTTCTTGCATTAGGAATTTGTCTTTTCACAGACCCCAGCTTGCTCTCCATGAGACACACAGACAGGGAGAGAAGCTGGGGGTCAGAGCACAGGGTCAGCCATTGTAGAGCGTCCCTGGAGCAGCTGGGGTGAAGGGCCTTGCTTAGGGGCCCAACAGAGTAGGATTCCTTTGATGGCTGTGGGATTTGAACCAGCAACCTTCCAGCCACAGGCACAGATCCTGAGCCAGAATGCCCCGAAAACATGTAGTGTAAGCGGGTGTTGAACCTAGATCGTCGAGGCAGAACCTCTGTTGACAAACCTGTTGCACCAACGGAAAATACAAATACAGTTTCAAATACTGATATATAAGTTGTCTAAAAAAAATGAAATCCAGCAGAAAAAT